CCTCCTTTAACTAATATGGACATGCATAAGCTTGAGGGAACCACCGTTTAGACAGCTCATAGCGACTTGAATTGGCAAGGCATGATTTCCTTTGTCACAAGCGTGGTAATTAGATTAGGCACATGGCAAGGTTCCACATGGATTAATAAGGTTCCACTCTCTAAGAATGACATAGAGCAGAATTGTAACATTTGGAAGCAAGCTTGTTGCTTGAGCAGTGCCACATTAAAGTTTAATTCCTTGACAATTTGGGGGTATTTTGGGGTTTTCTGCAGCGGTGGACAGATGCTTTATTCTACCATAACTGATTTTGAACTGTCATAAACTACTTTCCCTTATCGTTAACTATTTATCCAGGAGCCATTATATGCCTGTTATGGTACATTAGGTATTATGCTGCCCCCCAAAAAAACCCTATCATATCCTAAAAAAAAATCAGCTCTCCATACTCACAGTTCAATGGAAGGTTAGCTTTGTCAGTACAATCCTCCCATAATAAATTAACCTCAGAGGATCAGTCTAATGATTGGATGCAGATAAGAAAGTCACCGTCTTTTTCATGATCGTCATCGATCATTACTGTTAATGTAGTTGTTGCTTCTGTTGTTGCTGTACATCTGTTTGTCTCTCTGTCTCTCTTCTCTCTTTCTCCAACTGGCAAGGCAGATGCACCACCCTAGGAGCCGAAGGGTCTTGTCCGAGGTTTTCTGCCGCGTTTAAAAGGCAGGTTTTTCCTTGCCCCCGTCGCCAAGTGCTTGCTCATGGTGGTACTTGTTGGGTCCTCTGGTAAATGTTATAAGGACGGTCTAGACCTGCTCTATTTGAAAAAGTGTCCTGAGATAACTTCTGTTATGAATTGGCGCTATACAAATAAAATTGAATTGAATTGAAAGACAGCGGTGTGTGTGTGTGTGTTTGTGTGTGTAGACTGTCCGGATATGAATAAAATATAAATAAATATAAGATGAATACACAGAAGACAGAGGCATTTTTCATTTACTTTAAATGCATTGGTTTTCATTTTTTTATTGGTTATACGAGACGGCACACTCTCTGGTGTATTGCTAACTGCAGCAGTATAAAAAGAGTGTACTTTTTATGTTTAAAGATTAGGATTTCAGCAGGTAGAATAATCTTCACAACATCAATAAAACAACCCATGCCTTAAACAAAATCAATGTTTGTCTTACAATTAAAATGTTCATGAAACATACGGAGTAACTCTAATTTGTTTCATTAAAACCTTGACCCCTGCATTCCTAAATATTGGCTCCCTGCAGTGTTGTTGATCTAAAAAGCCTCTCAGACAGAGGGCAGATAGGGTGATTTAAAGCCTTGAGGTCTGGAGCTGATTACATTTTGGTCGCAAGCCTTGAATCCAGAGCAGTCATTAAGGCTCGACTTGAGAACCTCATACTCTGCTGAGACCAAGACAAACCTGAAATATGATGTGCAAAATATTAAAATCCATCATAAACACATTTAGAGTGGGTAAAATATGATTAATAAACAAGCCTCCATCAGTATGCTCGGAGTTAAAGTCTACACTTTTAAGCCTGGGGTTTGAGATGGGAGAAAAGAGAATTATATTGCTCTCATAATATAACTGTAAAGTATCTCGACACCCCGCCCCCCCCCCCCC